ACCTGCTCTCTATATATATATATATGTATATAACACAATATAACACAATGTAATATATTATATTTGAATATAATATACAGTATAACATTATAGTATGATATATAATATTCTATTATGTTATATACTCTAATATAATATAATATATACACATAAGTATACATATATATATATATACACGTTTCTGTGTACTTGCCAGGTCCATCTCCGCACCCTCCTCCAAGCAGACCACACCCTCCTCCAAGCAGACCACCCACCAAAATAAAAATGCAAAAAAAAAGCCAAAAAAAACACCCCTCCGTAGGTTTGCCACTGAAGATGCGAACGATGCAATATCTTCCTCGGGAAACCGCTTCTTCGCGGATTGGTACTTTCCGTTCGCGGGATGTTCGCCCCGGCACGTTCGCGCGACATGTTGGTATTGCTGGTGTGGTGATGGTGGTGGTGTTCATTCAACGCAGCGGAAACCTGTCGACCTCGCGAGATGCACTTCTTATGCCGGAGCCTGTTTCAAGCTCTGCATCGTGCTCATGAGCCGCAATGCATGCAAAGCACTATCTATTCTAGCGAAACATCTGCTGCGGAGAATGCCATGTCAGGTGGCGGTGGTGGCGGTGGTGGTGGTGGGGGGTTGTGGTGGTGGTGGTGGTGGGGGGTTGTGGTCGTCGTAGCGAGAGCACGAGGCTCCCAGCTGCACTTTGACCTTGAGGGCTTGAGGGCCTTAAGATGTGCTGCAGCATCTAGGCATCGGGCTCTGTGGGCTTGTGAGTCGAGCCGAAGCCCTTCTCCTCCTGGGTGGGGCTGAGCTGATCCAAGAAAAACAACACCTTTGGAGAAAGCAGGTGCATAGCGGACTTGCGCATGTGTCCTCCATGATGAGGTCGACGTCGCAGTTCGCATGGATGAAGTGGGTGTCTATTGACCGCTTCACAGTGCCCTGTCAGTGCTTCACCATCTATAAGCACAGGCCCCTCGTGACGCAGAAAACATCTGGCCTTCACACCCACAAGACAGTGCTCCTTGGTTCTCTGGATGATGGAAGTGTCACCATACATGACACTCTGTTGCCTGCCATGACAACTGAAAAGCTTGTATCAGTAGGGTTCTTCCTTTCATACTGGGGAACTATACTGCTGACTGGTTGCATATTCCCCACGATCGGCTACAGCTATTGTGCAGAATGCCATAATTATAAACTAGAAGGGTCCACAGTATCAACAACAGTTGTTATGGTTTGATGTAATCAGTTTTGTAACCAAAGTTCCGATAGCAATACTACACTAATCATAATAACCGTTACTAAAAAAGAGGACTAACCATGGTGAAAGTCATCGCAATTCTCCCCGCAAGAACGCAATCCCTGGGCTCAACAGAGAGCTCAGCTTGTTAGGGGCATACCAGGACCACGCTAGCGACTCCAGAATGGGTTTACAGCTCCAGAAGCTGGTGCTAAGGCTACTAAAGATTTCCTCATAAACCATCTACCATATTATGTTCTACTCTGTTATATTCTATTCTGTTCTGAGTATAGTCTAGTAATAGTATAGTAAAGTATAGTATGTCATAGTATATTGTAATAGAGTACAGTATCGTATCGCATCCTATACCATATCATGTTAGGTCATGTCACCACCAAGATAACCGAGGCAATCGAGCTCTGAAGCTCTTTTGTTACTCACACCGCGAGCGCACAGAGGCTCCAGATTCGATGCTTTTGCCTCGTGGTTGAGATACAGCGAGCTGTGATGTCTATGACGTTGCGGACAAAAGCATGGTCATGTTTCTTAGCATGCCTTTCAGCTCCGTTAGGTCCTGCCGTAAAGCTTCCTCCTGCTCTTTCTCAAAGCCCAGCTCGCAGTCAAGGAAAGCTTTGATTACGGTGCCGGCGAGCGCTAGGCGGATGAACATAGTTTGTAGCACCGCCTTGCTGAGGATGAAGCCTTCAAACACTGGGATGCCCCATCCTTGTCCCTTGTTCTGTTTCGCAAGCATGGCTTCAACAGCTTGCACTTCCAAATGCATCCCTCCATCACGATGCCGTTCCTCATTCAGCTTGTTCTCAAGATCTGCTAAGGCAGCAGACAGCTGAATAGGCCCAGCTACAACCGCCAACAGAAGTGCTCCCAACTGGCATGATGCCAGCAATAGCCTGAGCCAGGGACTTTTGAGGCCACGGTAGTAGCCCTCATTCACAGCCAGCAAATGCACTTCAGCATACCAGGAGAAGCAAGCCATCAGTATTCTAGATGCGACAAGCACCAGCGGCAGCCCACAGGTTGACAGCTTGGGGGTACTGTCACGCAAAACTCTTGAACAAGGCGCATGCACTTGCTTGGGAAAGTCCCTGGCATCACACGGCATTGCAACGGTCACCTCCAACATCAGCTGGCGTGCTGATGCGGAAATGCGCGAGACAAGGAAGGTGAGCGTCATCAGCTGGCAGAACTCAGGCACGTCTCGTAAGGCATGCAGAATCTTCATGACATGTCTCACGTCAAGCCGGCCTGCCGGACGATACAGCCAAGCCAAGGCGCCAGAACACAGGACTGATGTCGAACAAAGAATAAGCGCTGTCCAATTTGTCTTGCGTAGGAAACCGATTACAACATCGCTGCACAGCGGTGTGTGCAACAAATCGTTTCGTGCATTCAGAAGTAAGCCTGTCATGAGTCCTGACACACACGCAACGTCCGCGACAGCCCGGATTTTGGCCAACATATCTGAGTAGTACCATTCGCGCATTGCGAAGCCTGCCCGCGCCAAGGCATTCACCAGCGTGATGCTCAGAATCGAATGGCGACTCAGAACTTCACTGCAAAGGTCCAGTTGCCAATCTTGGTCCGTGCTAATCAGGCGGATGTAGAAGATATAGGGCAAGCCCAGCATTAGCAAACAGCCCAACAAGCCTGATGGCAGTGCCATACACCATAGACCAGACTCTACCCTCTCATCCAGTTGGGTGGGCGAAGCTACAGTTATGTTGAAAGGCTTCGAGGTCTCAAGGGCTTGGCGATAAGCTGCCCGGCTGTACTGTTGCGCGCCGACTTGTACGATGCGCTGGCCGGGCTTCAAGCCCAGTCTTTCTGCTTGCGAGTCCGGAAACACTTTCAACAGTTTACCTGTGTTGGCGTCCATCTCTATGCCTTTCCGGCCAGGCTGCAGGGTTACGATTTCCTCTTTGGCTGAAGTTTGTCGGCTCACGTCACCTGACGGGGCTGCTGCCGCAACTTGCACGACGCGCGCAGGGCGGTGGGCCAGCACGAGAGCAACCTGCACCAGTAGAGCCAACTTAAGCACCAGCAAGGAGTTCAGGTGGCGGAGCAGTGCAAAACCCATCCATGTGAAACACGACACAGGACGCGAAGTCGTGCGCGTGCAAGGCTTGAGCTACATGACTGCAGCAGGTGCTCTGCAAGTCTGCAAGCCCCAGGGGGACGTCCGGTGTAACTTCAATTGCAGTGACACAGGTCGAAAAGCAAAGCCAAGCATGTCAGCGCACTTGACGGCGCCCCTCGCATCCAGTTTGGCTTGCCGATTCGTCTTCACCCAGCAGACATCCTTCGAAGACTTCAGGTGGAGTTTCTAAAGAGGTGGGTTTTATCTTTGGCACCCGTTTGTCATGTTTCTTTTAACTGGTTGTTGTAGCTTTCGTGCCTTTGCCAACTCCCTGCATCCCATTATCTTACAGAAAATTGTGCAAATCTGGTATCTGCGTCCTAGTGCTTACATAGGATGCTCGCTGCGCAAGTCTCCGGCTGTGGTGCGGTGCATACTTCTCGTCGGTTGCAAAGGGTTCTACATGCTGAAGGCATCCCTCGACACGGACCACCGCTGCAGGAAGAAAATCTTGAATCGTGGCAGTACTTGAAAGCAACGATTTAAGGTCCCTTTTGGATTCCGAGAGCCAAGGAGGGCAAGCATAAGTCCGATGATCACGATATGCGCCAGCAATGCGACGTACGTGTAAAAATGTATATTGCCCCTCTATAGATATGTATTATATACTAGATACTATATGCTAGATACTATATGCTATATCTTATATCCTGTATACGATATACTGTATACTATATACTATGTACGGTATATTTTATATAGTATATCTTACATCGTATATAGTTTAAACTATGCAGTATTTAGTATGTGCTATATACGATATTCGATATACGGTACACGGTAGGCGATTTACTGTACACTAGATACTATGTACCATATACAATACACTACACATCATATGCTGTCTACTATTTACTATATGCTATGTACTGTAGTATATATATATATATATATATATACAAATATATGTGTATATATATATATATTCATATACTCACATACTATATACTAGATGCTACCCTTCCCCACTCCCTCTAGCCCCCCACCCCCAGACGAAACGAAAATGCAAGAAACAAAGTTGAAAATCAATACCCCTCCGTTTCCAACTTCTGGCTGTTTGCAGAGTCCACACTCACTCTTGGCACAGGCACCTCGATGCGTCGGAAGCCCCACTTCTTCAAGAGCTCACGACCGTGCTCCAAGTGCCTCAGATTCCGCCGAAAGAAAGCAGCGCTGGTTTCGGCATTCATGCTTCGGCGAGTTGTTTGACTCTCGTAAGCGTTGGCAGAATACGATGTTTTCCTCGTCACTCTTGGCCGTAACAGGGCAGCCACGTGCACGTGAGGCCTGCTGAGATGCAGGCGTTTCGCCGCACCAAAGGAACAAGAAGGACTGTGCGTCCGCAATTTCTCCGATCTGGCCGCACCGCGCGAAAGGGAAGAGCTCATCCCGATTCGATGGAGTACCATTACCTACCGATTCCCTATCACTCACTTGTGATGGAACCTGCAATTGAGCATGCAAGGACCATTTAGTATCTCGCGTAAAGCTCCGGTCATCTCCGGTAGGCCCAACGAGTTGAAACGAGCCGACATGCATCTGAAGTCCGGAAGAACCATCCACAAATGCCCGACACGTGCAAAGAAGTGCAACCGCTGTCCTTGAGGGTCTTGAGTTCTTCTAGAGTCCAAGTAGCCAGGTCCTGCATCCAGTCGCTGGAAGATCCATTGTGAGCTGTTCAGAGTCTGGCGATGCATCCTCATCTGGGACGTACATTCCGGCGACTCTTGCATTGTACCTGGTCGGAGGACGGCTGGACAGAAACGATGCTGACGCAACAAGAGCAGCGACAAGCGAATGCCGACAGCGCTGTCCACTCACAAGAAGAAAGCAGCGACTTTGACATTACACATTTCATGTTGTACATTATGTAATATACATATATATATACTCTGTATTACATTATATGTTATATATGTTATATAACATATATGATAAAGCCGTAGATGATATGCTGCAGCGGGAAGCGCACTCCTCCCAGGGCGGGTCGATGAGTATCACGTCAAACTTAGTTCCAAGGCCTCAGCGTCCCTTTAGTACGGTTCGTTCTGCAGAATGATCCATGTCTGAATTCTTTTCTGGGCGGATCATGCATCATGTCTGAATTGCGAACTATCCCTGGCTGAGCTGTGGTCTGTATATACATTTTTACATATGTATGTATGTATGTATATATATATATACATGTTTATGTATTGGTCTGTATATACACAGATGCTCATTGGTAGGCAGGCAGATTGGTAGGTTGGAAGAAAGAGGAGACAGACAGACGGACGGAAGGACGGACAGAC